GGGTTGGCCTGGGTGACCCACAGAGGTCCCTTCCAACCCCTACCATTCTGTGATTCTGTGACCTTCAGCGGCCGTTCCGCCGCCATCTGCGCGTGGAAGGGGACGTACCTGAGCTCTGCTCTCGGGTGAAACCCGGGGCAGGAGCTGCCGGGAGGAACACAGCCTTCGCTGCCACGACGGTTTCAGACCTCGTCTCGCGTTCTCTTGGAGCGGGGTTGGGGGGGTTCGGGCTAACCCCTGCTCCGTCTACACGCAGAGGATGAGGAGCGCTCTCTGCCAGCCAGCGACCAGGAAATTCTTCAGCTCGAAGCGGATGAAGCTCTGGCTCCTGTCTCCATGGAGAAAAGGGGAAAAAGGAAAGAAAAAAAAAGTCCTTGAATTCAAGTTAGATGCAGACAAGGTAATTTCCACATGAGTTAGCAGAACAGTTAGTTGGAAATTTTTGATAAAATCTATTTTTCTTTGAAAATGCAGATCCAGTGAAATGCGAAGGCTTTCCACTGGAAAGAATGAGTTTTTGCTGGATTTCTCAACGAGTTCTCTAGAAAATTTGTAAACCGTCACAACATGTCAACCACCACTGCTCTTTTTTCAGACCAAAATTTATGCTCCTGGTGCCTTGCAGCCTGACACGAAAATGCAACATTTTTGGCATCATCACTTTATTTGTCTGAACTTCAATATTCTACAGATCTTCCACCCTCATTTTGGGTCAGGAAAAAGCTCGCGATGCCAAGAGGTCCCTGGGATAAGGAGAGCGTTTCCCCGAGCCGTGGGATGCTCAGGCTGAGGAGCAGTGCGGGACGCAGGGCACAGCCCTCCCAGTAACACCAGTCAGCACCACAGCTGGCTGTCTCTCGACCTCGTGGGCAACTCGTGCTGGTTTCTGCTGACATGAACGTGGTGGTGGAGGCAGGGTCCGGCCAGCCTGGTCACCCCTCGTTGTCCCCTGTGCCAGGACGAGCCGTGGGTGCTCGCCCCGGGCCCTGCTCCGGCCGAGCTAGAAGCACCCCGCTTTTCCTGAGAAGGGGGCATTGCCCTCAGCACCCGCGTGGATTCAGTTCTTCTTGTGGTACCTGTGAGACCACAGCCTGGAATCCCGTTTTTCTTCAGCTAGGGAAAGCACACGGCCATCAGTAAAGATCATAACCCGACAGGCCACTTCCCTGGCTCAGTTTCTGTACCTTCTCAGCCCTTCTTGGTCGCCTTCTCCAGGTTCTCATCAGCTTTCAAGCTTACCTCCCCCTCCCCGGGTGCTGGCAGCCTCCCCGTCCTTTAGCAAGGCCAGCACCTCTCACCCCAAAGTTTTACGTGCCTCTGGGACCCTTCCCTGCAGGGTGAAACCACCACCAGGATCCTTCCTCCCATCTTCAGTACGCGCTTTAGCAGATGCTCTAATCCCCGGAGGAAACTCAGGGCAGCAGCAGCTCGCTGTCCCCAGGTGCCACCGGCCCAGCACGGTGCTGGTCTGTGGGGACACGACACGAAGAGTGTCCCTGCAATGTCACCCAGTGCCCGGGCCGGGGAAGGAGGCTGGCACGGCCAGGCTGAGCTCACCCACCTGCTGTCACGGGCTCCATGGGCACGCAGGAAAGCCCATCCATACCCCAGGGAGCTCAGGTGCCACGCGAGGACAGGGTACCCTGCTTTGGAGAGGTGCAGAAGTGACCAAGGGGGACATGGTGGCTCCCGGCACGCTGAACTTCATCCCCAGAGCCCATAGGTTGTGTCTCCCTGGTGACATTGGCTGGGACCAGTGCTGGACCAGGGGACGGAGAGAGGACGAGGGCTGGCAGCGGCTGGCACGCACCACAGAATCACAGAATCACAGAATAGTAGGGGGTGGGAGGGACCTCTGGGGGGCAT